CCCGGGGCCGTGTCCCTGCCCTGTCCCCGGGCCCTGCCCTCACCTGCCCGTCGTGGATGGCCGTGGCCCAGCCGTCCGCCGCCCTGCCCAGCACGAACACCAGGCTCCCGGCCGCCACCTCCGGCCCCGGCTGCGCGGGCCGGTACCGGGACAGCACTCGGTGGTAGCCGGACTCGGCGTCCCTGCGGGGAGAGCAGAGCGCTGACGGCCCGGCCGCGGTGCCGAGGGCTCCGCGCCAGCACACCGCCCCGGCCCAGCCGCACGGGCTGTCAGGCGTGGGTCCGGGAAATCCGCATTTTCATTGCTCCTCTTCGCTCCAACTGCGAACAAGAGGGCCTTGGAAAGCACCGATTTGCCAAATGCAGCTGTGTTTTCATTGTACTGAGAAACAATGCCAAGATCAAAACAATTATTCAACACAGCTCCGAAGTACTGCTGGTGCAATATCGCCAAAACAAATTACTTTCTTGGGTTTAAACATGATTTTGGCACAGGACACTAGGGCTGGTATTGAGTATTTGGAATTGTCCTGGGAATTAAGGTGGGAAAACTGAGCATCCTCTGCCACAGACATGGGCAGGTCCCACAGCCTCTGTCTGCATCCATTCCCCAGGCACGCCACGATCCATGCCTGTCTCCCAAGACCATTGAATCAAGTCCTGCAAACTGCCCAGAGGCTCTTGCAGAGATGCCAGAGACCTGCAGCATCCTTTGCAGCCACAGAAGCCTTTGTTTATTTGTCATTCACTCCACGCCTGGTCAGAAGTGGGTGTGGATCCCTCGGAGTCTTCACACAAAGAAGCCAGAGAATAAAAGACTTTCTGAACAGTAGTGAGAGAAGGGTAAGACCAAGGTGGGATTGAAGACTCACCACAGAGCATCGGCGCTGGGTTCATAAAAGCCTTGTTTCTATGGGAGAAACAACAGGATCCATTTGTAATGGTGCCTCCCACAGCAGCAGTGCCACCTTACCTCCTGACTGTACTATTCTGTCTCTATTCTTGACCCCACTTGTCATTCCACATCACCCAGAAAAAGTCTACTGCTCCACACCTTACCACGATGTGCCTTCTCTTCCTTCTCCTCCCTCTTTATCTCATCAGGAAGTAAGACAATGTCTTCCCTCTCACCTGGTTCCAAGGAACTCCCAGCACAGTGGGAGGCAGTTGTGCTCACATTGACACATTTACGGAAGTGATGAGCAGAGACAGGCTCAGCACAGCAAAGCACAGCTGTTTTGACATGGTGAAGAGCCAAAAATGCATTTTTTAAGGGCTGGAGATTCCCATCATTGAATCCCTTACAGCCAGTGCTGAGTGAGCCTGGCTCTGAATAGCCCCATGGATCCAGGCTGGTATTACACTAGTTTTACCAAGCATCCACTCTTCCCCTGATTGTTTGGATCTGAGCCCCTTTGTGGAGCTCCAAGACAGCTCCATCCTTCTTTCACAGCCCTGTCCTGCTCACCTGAGGCCTGAGAGGCTCAAAGCCAATGTATTCATCGTTGGGAATAATGGATGAGATCACCTGTTGGAGAACAAAATAATGAGTGAATCTAGGCTGGACAAAGAGACCTCCAAACTTCATCCAAGATTATCTGCTCAGACCCATTTCCTTCTGGTATCCCAAGGTCAGGCAAAATATGGAACTGTGCATGTAGTGGGAGAGGCAGAGCTAGATTCCCAAGACAGCTTCAAACATTTGTGTCCCAGTTTTTTAGTCTTTACAAGGTTTCTTTAAAAGTATGTGAATTTATTACTTTCCCTTTCCTTTATTCATTTTGGAGCTCTCTGTTCTGACTGCACTGGTCACAGAAGAGGTCAGAGAAATTTTCTGCTGCCTTGTATTAAGGCATGCGACAAAATATTTGTCCTCTGGATGCCAACCTGTCCCCCTGGAAATGCAGGACTGAGCAACAGCATGCTGCCCCTCTTAAAAACATCACTGTCAGCAAAAGGGCAACCACGGGTTCCCAGAATACCTGCTTGGCCCTTTCAGACTTTAAAGTGACCCAGACTGGGAAGGCATTTTAGTGCCAAAGTGCATTTTTTGGTAGAAGGGGTAGCAATTCTAACAAATTTTGGCTTCTGTGTCCTGACTGCCTGGACTGGCTGCAAGCTCTGTCCATCCTGCTCTGGTTGCCAACACAACACTGCTCACTGCAGAGGCAATATTTTTTTCTGCTGCTGTTAATTGTGACAATTACCTTGTCACAATTACAAGGTGTCTGTTACCTTGGGTTTACCCAGGAAATCTTTTGAATCCAGCTGCTCAACTTCCTTCTTTCGTGGTCTAAAAAGTTCCCCAAGAGGAACCAGCATGGGCTCTAAAAACAGGTGGTCCTGGGGTGGGGAGAGCAGGTAAAGAAAAAGCCATCAATTTGCATTGAATGAAACATCAGAGCCCTGAAAAGCAAATACACCTTAGGTGTGAAAGAGCAGCTCCAGGAAGACAGTGGGGCAAAAATTTTGGCTGTGAACTCGACAAAGGCCGCTCAGGCTCCACAAAAGCACAAACTAACTGAGAGCTCAGCAGCCCCTCCCCAGTGTGGAGGCAAGGACTGACACTGCTGCCAGGGGGCCGGTGGGAGGGGAAGCAGTGCAGGAAGTCTTATCAAACAAATCTTCCAAACAGCTTTTCTGTTTGACTTCAGAGATTTTCTGTTCAACTTCAGATGTTTTCTGTTCAGCCACTGAGTGTGATAATAGCAAATGTAAACAATACCCTGGAGAAGCACAAATGTGATGCCAGAAGAGATGATCAGATTAAAAACAAAGTATGAATCTCTTATAAAGTATGAAGATAGCAAACTAATGAATCATTCAGGAAGACTAAATCAGAGATCTGCAATTTTTTTTCAGATCATAAAGGAGTCTAACAGGAAACTTTCACTTAGAAGCAGAACTAGAAACACTTTCACACCCTACTTAAGCTCTAAAAGTGATTAACATTAATATCTGAGCTGCCACCAATTGTTCCTGAGGCCAAAGGGACTCAAAAGAAGCCAGCCAGTGCCAAGAAAAGGGGACTCTCCAAACCCGCACTTGTAGGGGTTCTGCACTTGAAACACTGCACAAGGCAACTGGTTTTGCAGGACAAGTACAAATGGACAGAGCTCCTGGACAGGAGGGACCAGGAAGCCACGTTCCCAGCCTCAGAGGTCATCCCAAAATTCTCCACTATGGTGTTTCTGGGCAGTGAAGCACCTGGGGGTGATGGCGTTCCTCAATCACCTGAAGCCCTGCTTTGGCAGAGCATCATGTGCAAATGGCTTAGACCATGCTAGCAGGTGGCCAAGCAGGTGGGTGGATGGCAGGAACATGCAGGTGTCAGGAACACTCAAAGTGACAATGTTTAGCACACATCCCTGAGCTGTAGCCTGATGCACACACCCAGGAACCCACAGAGATGGCATTACCTGCACCCTCTCCAGGGCCAGCTCCAGGATTGCTGTTCTTCTTTCAGGTCTCCACACAACAGCCTTCTCCAGGGTGACTCTGGCCTCCTGCCACTGCTGCAGGTGGCACTGCACTGCTGCAGTGCTGTACAGCACCTGGAGTGGGCACAGGGAAGGGACTCAAAGGGCCAGGACCAGGGGACCCAACACATCCTCCTGAGCTCAGCCAGGAAACAGGAACAGGCACTAAAACACCAAGAATTCATCAACAGGAGAAGCACTCTGAGCAGCATAGCTGGGAAAATTTCACAATCAGAAAGGAAAAATAAAAGCTTGGGTGTGCTGGAGCTGCTGGTCAAGGTGATGAGAAACATGAGGACAGCAGGTGAAGACTCTGGTACCATGCTGTTTAAATCTGATCATTTCTGCATCTAAAAGGCCGGGAAGCTTTCATTGGGTGTTTATCTGCATGCAACTAGGTAATGATTTTTGTAATCCTGACTCCCTGTCACTGCAAAATATCTGAACTGAAACTATTTCATGTTGTAGTGGGCTGTGAATGTACAAACTGTCAGCTGTAGCTTGTCACCCTTCAGCAACATGTCAGTCTGTTCTTGGGAAGAGCAGGCTGTGGGAGTGTTGCAGATGGGGTGCTGGGGAGCTGTGGTCTATATTGAGAGTGGGAGATCTCTCCCTGTCACTGGCCAGCTGGGCCACAGCCAGAGCACTGCCAGACAGCTCCTTATCTCCTGTGATAGGGTTATCAGCTGGGCATTGAGGTGTTTACCAGGCTGCACACCCTGCTCAGGAGAAGCAGGACAAGCTGGAGTTCATAGGATGCTTCTCCTTTACTCCTGAATCATGGCAGTAGAAGACTCTGGGAGTGTGTGGAATGGCAACCCTGAGCACGTACAGGAGCTGTGGGGACAGATCCTCTTGGGAAGCAAGGCAGCAGTTCTCACTCAGTCAGAAGTGTCACAGCCTTGCAAGAGGCAAATGTTTCTGGGTTTTCAAAGCAGGCATGTATCTCCCACGAGGAGATCAGCTGCAGCACGTGAGAGGCCATGAATGGGGGAAGCTGATGGCACAATTCTGCTGGAGGATGATGTTCGCATATTTTGAAAAATGAGCTCCAGGTAAGAATGAAATACAGCTGGATCAGGATGCTGGTCCCAAGTCTGGAGGGCCAGCACGGTGCCAGCACATGTCCTGGTGATGCCTGGAGTAAGGGGTCGTGTGTCCACACCTGAAAGGGCCCCAGCCTCCTTGGGACACTCCTGAGCCCTGCCCCTTTCCCAGGGATCTGCTCATTTCCAAGAGAAGGCAGCACCGTGGCACTGAAGCTGTTAAAGCCAGGGAGGTTTGGGAAATACCACGGATGCCAAGGATAGTTTCCTCCAGCCAGGTATAAGGTGCACGAAATAGCCAAGATGCTTGGCTGGAGTTACACAATGACTCCTCACTCTCACGGAAGTAAGGAGTTAAATCCTCTTTCCATTATCTGCTTTTCAATCTGTGTGGACTCAGAGAAAACAAAATGAACCCTTCCAGTAAAGGACAGTTTCTAGGAATCCCTTACATATGTCCAAATATTACGAACATTTACAATCAGTTCAGCCTTTGAGCTTCCTTGAACAGAGCAGGTTGGCTCTGTGTAACAGTAAGAGGTGCACGGTGAAGCATTACAAACACAGCCTGAGCACGGGGTGTAGTTCAGGCACAGAGGGAATATTAAGATCCGTTGCTGCAGTTGGAAAGAGGCTTTCATGCACCTGACATTCCTAGAGCCTACATTATGCATCAGCGTTGTTCTCATCTGTCAATGTTTCAACCTCTTTCAGCTCTGAGAGCTGAGGAGTTCACTAAACTTGTAAATACTACAGTTGTATTTATATCCAAGTGTAAATATTACACAGAATCCCAGACTGGTCTGGGTTGGGAAGGACCTCAAAGCTCCCACTTCCACCCTTGCCATGGGCAGGGACATCTTCTACAGACCAGGTTGCTCCAAGCCCCGTCCAACCTGGCCTTGGACATTTCCAGAAATGGGGCAGACACCACTTCATCACATATAGAGAAAATAAAACCCCCTCAATGTAGAAATTCCTGTGCACCTGCTCTGAACAATTTTACTTTTCAAACAGCATCATTTGCTAAACTTTACAGAGATGATGTTGGTTTACAACTTTTATGATTAAGTTACTTTTAAAAAAGTGCAAGCAGAATATTTTTACAGTTCTAATCTACTTTCTTGAAAAGGTCTTGGGGTCACTAATGCCTGCTACTGCCACCTCCAACAGTGGGGAAGGATTGCTGAGCCAGCTGTCTCTTACCTCCCAGGCATAGAGGATGTGCCTCAGCCCTAGCTGCTTGTAATCAATGAAGGGATTTTCTCTTAGGTGACTGAAGGCCATGTGATAGTCAGAGAGAGCTTCTTCATACCTGCAATGCAGAGGTGACACAAGAAACTGAGCCTAAAATGGCTGGAGACTGTTTAAAAAGCTTAAAAATCATACTAGCAAATAACATGTGTTCTGCTCTGCAAGCTGTGCAAGGAGAGCTGCACCAGAGATGTGTTACAAAGAACCAAAGTCACCCACTGCTGGGAGCTTCCTGCCTGTCCCAGGAGGACCAAGGGCTAGGAACCTGACTGATGGGGACCAGAGAGGGCACACACATGGCCAGAGCATCAAAATAGAGAAACTCAAAATTTAGAACCTCAACATATAGAGAACCTCTGTGAATAAGGAGGGTATTAGTCTGAATTTACCCAGCTATGCAACTGAAATCCAAGCAGGTGCCCACTGAGGCAGCAGGTGGTGAAAGGAAGGGCCCAGGAAGGGCTGTGCAGTGGGCACCTGACCAAGAGAAGGTGCCCAGGTGGGTATTGGTGGGTGGGAGCAGCTTCTGATGAAGGAAAGAGCCCTGGGGGCTGGAGGCCATCTGCTCTTTGGGCAGGAGGCAGCTGCCAGCTCTGCTGCCCCTGTAGTGGCTGTGCTTGGGGCACATTTGCTTCTGCTGCTGGTGGAGCAGCTCTAGAGAGCCCTGCCTGGGGTTCCACCAGCCCCAGGGACAGCCCCTCTACTGGAGAAGCCAGAACATCTCACTTTAACTGCCTTCCAGAAATAAAGAGAGGTATTTTGTATAGATTAAAGTCTGGGAAATATGGGGAAAACAAGGGGAAAGAAAATAACTGAGCTCAAAGGTAAGACAAGATCTGTAAAATACTTCATCCAGCTTCCTGAGGAGGATGTCCCTGTGATTTAACGATAGCAAGAATGAGTAATCAATCCCATGACACTTCTGGAGCAACCTCAATATATTATCAGTGAGACTGAGATCAGACCCCTAAAGTCTGCTGACAGGAGAGTGTGCAGGCTGCATTTTTAGGAAGGCCAGACTCATGTGTGTCTTGTGAAGACACACCAAGCAGCACAATTATATTTTTTAAATTGACAGAGAAAATCTGAATGGCAACGTAACATTGTGGCAGCCTTGCATCCAGGAGTTTCTGTGTATAGGGGACAGCAATGTTGTGTGTCAGCCATCCCTGGGGTCCCAGAGGTTTGCAGCTCTTAGCAGAGATAAGACTTGCTGACTTGTGACAAGGTTTCCAAGGCTAAAGCAGACCCTGTGAACCCTATCAGGTTGCTGGAAGAAGTGACTTTTGGAATCAAAGAATCATTTAGGTTTAGGAATAAAGCAGGACTGAAAGGAGAGAACCAAAGACTGCACTGGCTGTGCACCTCACTCACTTTTCCAGCTGCAGGTGGACAAACCCTCTCTGGAAGTAGCCCACAGCCAGGGACTTGTCCTTCTCAATGGTTTTATCAAATGCCTGAGGAGAAAGACACAGGCACATCACAGGGACCAGCTGGGATCTGTCCTGTCAGTGCCTGGGCACACACACCCAGCCAGCCACGTCCCAGCTGCCCTCACAGAGGCAACCCCTGGGCTCCTGCCCAGCTCCCAGGGCTGGACACAGCTCCCAGTCATTGTCCCAGTCAGCTCTGTGTCAGCTGAGCTTCAGGCTTTTACCCCTCCTTGCTACAATGGACTGGACATAAATGAGCTGCATTGGCCACCTGGCTTCTCAAAATGGGAAAACTGTAGCCTGAAGCAGAGTTGGGCAGTGGGAGCAGTAGGACAGGTCAGGCTGGGGAAGACTGAAGTGATGAAAGGGTGAGAGCGTGGAAGCTGCAGGGCTTCTCACAATGGCCTCTAAGTCAATACTTCTGCTTCAGTGCCCCAGCTAAAAACAGGCTGTGGTAGCAGCTCGTGGTTCAGCGTGCTGGGAGAGCCAGGAGTCCTCCTGAGGCAGCAGGGGTGTGCTCCTTCCCTTGCCACTGCAGACACCTCGTGGGGATAACAAGTGCTGAAAGCCCAGCCCTCCCCGCCCTGCCTGCACAGGGACAGCACTGCAGGGGAAGGTGAGTCCCAGTGACCCCACACACCTGCTGGACACCTGGGCTGTAGCTGAAATACCAACAACCAACCACTGATCCACACGGAAGTAGAGCTCAGCTTCTTCCCAGTCACTGCCCCTTGACTGGGGCTCAGAAGTCTCTCCTGAGCTTTCTCCCTCATCCCCATGGTGCCACTGCCATGTGCTCACTGTGTCCCAAACAGCCACTGCCCTGCCCAGGGCTCCACGGCACTGCCCCAGCCCCCAGCACAGCCTTAGCTCTCATTACACTGTTTGAGGAAAGGTTTATCTGCATCTCCTCCCTGGAATGGATGGATGATGGATGGATGGATGGATGCATGCATGTGTGGATGGATGGATGATGGATGGATGTGCAGACACACCAGGTGCTGTCACAAAGAGGCTTTTCCTCAGGGCACCTCCTCTCCCTTCCTAAGGGCAGTGTTTATCCTGCACAGCAGCTTTGTTCTGGCAGTCACCAACTCCCAAGCAACATATTTGTACTTTCAAAATACACCCATCTCATGTCTAACCCACGCCTACAGAACAGCTATTGGACAATCTTTTTCCTGCTTTGATTTAAAGCTACAATACATTTTAAATTTATTGTGCATGTCCAGTGGGTTGAGGTCTTCTCTTGGAATCAGGCAGGCTGAGCTTTAGAGGTGTGGTTTTCACATGATAATGAGC